ACTTGGTCGTTTTCCCATTGGCTTTGGAAGTGGAGGGGGCCGGGGCAGAGGGCAGGGTCAGGAGATGCCGGGCCTGAGAAGGGGGCATATAGCAGTCCACAGCGCTGACTTTGCCATCCTGGGACTGATGGGATTTACACAGGTAATATGGCAAATACTCCCCTTGATTCCTGTTGAGACAGAGATTTTAACTTCCCAGGTGACTGTTTAATTCTCTCAACAACCCTAGGAGGTCAGTATTATGTGTCCTGATATACAGATGCGAAAACTGAGGCTCAGGCAGGCTTGGTCATTTGTCCAAGGTCTCTCAGCTAGAAAGTGGGGGCCACACTGCCAATCCCCTGCTCAAGGTGCTTAGAGGGGTGACCCAGCCCTTTACACCTGGATAGCACTTCATAATGTGCAAAAGACTCTCCCACCTGCTTCCATCTGCTCCTTGCTGGAGGAGTGCCTGAGGGGCAGGGCGCTTGGCCTAGGATGGGTGCCTAGTGAGTGTGTGCGGGACCGAGACAGGCCGGGGTATGAGATGCCTATTTGCAGGGGAACCCAACCCCCAGAGATGCCAGCAGCTTGCTCAAGGTCACAGTGCTTAGAAATTGAGAAACTGGGATTTAAACCTGCTGGGGTTCTAGGAGGGGAGGCAGAGAAGGCAGATGAGGTGGGCCTAAGAGGACAGTCACCCGTTGGGAGCCCACCTACAGGGACTGGAGCGGGGCAAGAGCAGCCGAGGGGAAGGGTTGATTCGGCCAGGAGCTGCTTTTCCGGTGGGGAAGGCCCCAGAAACTGAAAGGCAGGACCTTCCTGTTTCCATCCTGACACACTGACCTTGAGCAAGCCCTTCACCCTCTCTGGACCTTAGTTTCCTCATCTATGAGACTGGGACCCTCGCTCACCCTGTGCCCCTCCGGGGCTCTGATGAAGTACATTGGCACTGTGAAGCTCTGTGCACTTGGGGGACCATGGCCATTAGAGGGGGGAACAGGATGGTTGGTGACCACGCCTCCTCCCCCAACCTGCTCACCCTGCAGGGCGAGGAGCTCTCGTCGGGCCGCCTGTTGGAGCAGGGTGCCCACCGGACCCCCAGCAGCACATGCGCGGCCTGCCGGCAGCACGTACATCTGGTGCAGCGTTACCTGGCTGAGGGCAAGCTGTACCACCGGCACTGCTTCCGGTGAGTGGCTGGGGAGCCTGGGGGCAGGGGCTTCACCCCCAGCACCCCAATACCAGGGAAGGGGCATCCCTGGATTCAGCGCCACCATGTGCTGAGCACCTTGGCAGGCCCTTCATACCGGAGCATCTGCTTATCCCCATTATACTGAGGCGCAAACGGAGGCCTAGTGAGGGCCAGAGACTTGCTCAGTCATATAATTAGAGACAAAAATGGGGCTGGAGCTCAGGGGTTCTGCCTCCAGTGCCCGTGCTCTTTGAGGCAAACTACCCGATGACGTTTAAGGAGCACAGTATACTTTAAAAACCACTGGGAAAAAAACTTAAAAAAAAACCCACAGTAACAACTTGCTTTCCGTATGTGGCTCTCAGGGGCAGCCAGGTTCAAAGAAAATGGAGTAAGAGTTAAGGAAAATACAAATAACCTACAAAATGTATGANGTGTGTGTGTGTGTGTGTGTGTGTGGTGTGTGTCTGCCTGCGTCTGGGGGCGGAGCCATCGCTGGGTGGGGCGGCAGGCCGCCGCCCCCTCCCGCTCCCCGGCCGGCGCGGACCGAGGCCAGCGGGACGCCGGCGCCCGCGGCCGGCCCACAGCAAGGGGAGCCGGCGGCAGTGAGTAGGCGGCGGCCGGCCGGGCAGGTCCGGGCAGGTCCGGGTGGGGAGCAGGCAGCCGAGCCGGGACTCCGCGCCGGAGCCGGAGCGTAGGACACCGAGGCCGCGGCCCCGCCTCCTCCTCGCCCTTTGCCCGCCGGTCGGCGCCGGGAGCTCGGAGCTGCGCGGAGCAGGGCAGCGCCGGAGCCGCCGCCGGAACCCGGCCGGTGGCGGACAAGAGGGTGAAGCCTGATCCCGGCGGCGCCCGGAGCCGGGCCGAGCCCCGCGCGGCTCATGGCGCGGCCGCAGGACGTGCTGCTGGCCTGGTGCCGCCGCCAGTGCGAGGGCTACCGCGGCGTGGACATCCGCGACCTGAGCAGCTCCTTCCGGGACGGCCTGGCCTTCTGCGCCATCCTACACCGGCATCGGCCCGACCTGCTGTGAGTGCCGGGAGGGCGGGCGGGCCGGGGCGCAGGGCGGCGGGCCCCGAGGTGGGGACCCCCGCCCCCCTCAGTGACGCGGGGCCGGGGCGATGGCAGGCGCCGCCCCCCGGAGACCGGGACACCGACCCTACTGACGGGCCCAGAACGCCTCGAGGGTCACTGAGACCCCCCAATCCAGGGCACCCTCCTCCCCCACTAGGCCTCTCTGACCCCGCCTGTTGGAACTCAGAACCCACCGCATGCCGGTCCCTTCGTGGCAGGGGTGCGGCGGTGGGGGTGGGGGTGGCTCCGCCCACAGGGCATTGATTTTCGCCAAAGGGACACAGCCCCCCAAAGCCTTGACTCTTTGAAGGGGCACCAAATCTTCCTTAAGGGGAACCCTGGGACTTTTCTGCTCTAAACTCTGCTCAGACAGTCACACTGAGCACCCCACTTCCCGTAAGGCATTGAGGCCGGTTCCTTCTGTGGGGGCCCCCTTTGCTCTGAGTGCAGTGAACCTCACTTCTCTGCTTCCCCCATGAGATCTTGTCTCCAGGGCACTAGAACAGTGCCTGGCATGGAGGAGCCCCTAGGTTAACAGTGGTTGGATGAATGGATGTACACCCCCCCCCCCCCCCCCCTATTATCTCACCTGATTGCCCACAACCCTGGAACACTGGCAAAACAAAGATTATTATCTCGATTTTACAGGGTAGGAAATTGGGGCTCATAGGGGTGAGTTGTCTGGCCTGTGGTCACACAGGCCCTTATTTCCTATCATGGTGAGCTGACTCAGAAATGAGTTTATAAAACCAGAANTGTGTGTGTGTGTGTGTGTGTGTGTGTGTGTGTGTGTGTGTGTGTGTGTGTGTGTACGCACGCATGCGTGGTGGCTAGACCTGGAACCTGGGGACTTGATGGCAGAACTGGGGTGTCATGGGGGAAAATTCTCCAGGAGGGGAACCATTATAGCAACACAGTCACATCTGGCCAGCTATAAATACATACCGGAAATAAAGCTTGCAGAAATAAATGCACAACTGGAATTAGAGTTTCGTAAAACAAGTGTGATACACACTGACATTTTTTTTTCTATTTTATTTTGTCCTATTTCATTTTATTCTAATCCATGAAAAAAACAAAAGGAAAAAAAAACCAAAAAAACCCTGGTTGGTTGAAAACCACTGAACTGATCTCCTGAGCTGCTAGTGCGTGGTAGCCTGCACACTAGATGGTACCTTTTGGAGGGGGAAACCTTTGCTTCCTCTTGCAGCACAAATTGAAGGCATGTTTCACAACTTATGTTACTGATTTCACATGGTTTTATTGTTCTATGATGATCCTGACAGTTACCGTTCTCCTTTTCCTCAGGGAAGTCCAGGGTATTGAGACAAGATCCAGGCTGGCACGTGGGAGGAGAGGAGGGAGGGCACAGCTTTGGCTGCTGGAGGCTCGGTAGCCAGCGCCCGGGGCCGGGCTGCCTGGCCACGTTGAACATCCTACCCCTGTTCTCCCTGGCAGGTGTCGGCAGTGCTCCAGCACCCTGATCCCCGGGGCTTACAGGAGTGGGCCTGAAGAGGGCACCTTCGTGTGTGCAGAGCACTGTGCCAGGCTGGGCCCAGGTGGGCGGTCGGGGACCAAGCCCAGGCTCCCCCCACAGCCAAAGCAACAGCAAGAAGAAGCAAAAGAAACAGCAGGAGAAGCCAAGGATGAGGAGGGAGGTGGCCCCAGCCCTAGTGCGGCTGCAGCGGCTGAGATGGACACGCCCAAGGCCAGCCCAGAGACCCGGCCCCAAGTTCCCACCAAGCCCCGGGTTCCAGGCAAACCGCAGGAGCTGGCCAGCCCCCCGGCCAGCCGCCCCACGCCCACCCCCAGGAAGGCCTCCGAGAGCACAGCCCTGACAGCCCCTACACCCCGGCCCCGGTCCAGTCTGCAGCCTGAGAACTTGGAGCAGGGTGGCAGCAGCGGCCTGGTGAACGGTGAGCAAGGCTCCAGCTGGGGCCAGGCACCCGCTGTGGAGTGTCTGGTGTTTACACGCACGTGTGCACTGACAGCGTTCATGGGACCATTCTCTATGCCTATGTGGGCCTCTTATGGGGGATGACGCTGTTTCTGAGGTTATTAGTTCATGTAACAGATAGTGACTGAGGCCTCTGGGCCGGGCTCTGTTCTTCGTGCTGGGGGTATAGCTCAAACAAACAGATACAGATTGTGCCCCAGGCTGTATGTCTCAGTTTCAGGATGTGTTACGAGTGCACACTGTGTGTGCCTGTGTCCCGACTGTCTCTGGGACTGTGTGTGTCCTGGCCGGTCTGATTGCATACCGCAGGTGACCTCCCCTCCCACGCCCAGCCCACGTGCTTGTCTGTGTCTGGATGTCTGGCAGGGGAGAGCTTGGGCTGGGGACAGGGGACACAAGAGGGTGTGTCCCTGGTCAGGTGGGCCCCTGGGGGCTCCCTTCAGGCTAGTCTGAACTGCACTGGAGACCCCTGCTCCACCCCTCATCACAGGACCGTCCGAATGACCTTCCCGGGCTTCCATGAGCTCATGGAAACAAAGCTTCTTGTAACCTAAGATGTACTGGGTAGCCCTTATCATTTGGTTAGGGAAGGCTGGGGTAGGTTAGGAAAGACCACGGGGGCCTGGGAGAACGAGACTCCCTCTGCTTATTTAGTTCTGTTCTGCACTCATGGAGGCCTGCTCTGAGCGCCCCCCCTGAGCTGGGCACTGGGGACGGAGATATTGTTCAGACCTATCCGTGCCTTTGGGGTGCTGCCACTCTCCAGGGGGAGATAGGCAGAGACACAGGGATTTTAGTAGAATGGAGAAGTCTGTTAAGATGAGGGAAGCAGAGGCTGTTATGGGATTCACGAACACTTGGATGCCAGGAGGCTTCCAGGAGGAGGTGACGTTGGGGCTGTGTTGAGACAATGTCTGTCCATATTGTGGCAGTGTCTGAGGGGCACTTGGGTGCCCCTGTCTCAACTGAAATGCAAATGGAGTCTCAGGTGTCCTGGCCTTGCTCCTTTAACCTTCTCCACCTGTCACCTTTGGTGCTTATCTAATCTCCCTAGTGCTGGGCTGGGGAGGTGCAAGTGTGCAGGTGAGGTTACCATGGCCACCTGGAGTCCATGACCTGCCAAGTAGGAAGGAAGGGCGCTCATTGGAGTGAGTGGCGGGCACTCTGGCTGGCTCTCTGGGTGCCCCACTCTGCTGCCCAGCCCGCAGCTGTCCATGAAGGCCTGTCTCTCTCTTCTTTCGTATTTAGGAAGGCTGCATGAACCCCCCGTCCCCAAGCCAAGAGGGACGCCCAAGCTGTCAGAGAGGTATGCTGGCCCTGAGAGGTTTTCAGGGCCCTGGTGGTGGGAATGGGGGCACCCTGGGGGCATGGCTTCCTGCGGGCCTGTGACCCACCCCATGCCCTCCTGAGAATGGGCAGGGCTCATCTCCGGCTGGGGCAGGAGTGCTGTGCCCACATCCCCTGGGAGCCCCTCTCCTGTGGGCAGCAGCACCTGGTAGAGACAGCCGCCTCTGGAGTTCCCTTCAGCTCCCCAAACCCCCGCTGCCTCTGTACCACGGGGGCCCTAGGTCTAGCTCATGGAGTTGTGAGAATTAGCAGCCAGGTATCAATAGCCCAGAAAAGCTCAGCTGTGTACCTGGCTCAGGTATTCCACTCTGAGACCCTGTGTCCCAGGCGAGGACATCTATTTCCCGCTGTTCTTTGGAGCTCTGCTTCCCCTGTGTGGTCCACGAGGGAGAGAGGTGGGCCACCGCCATAACCTGAGTTAACACTCAGTTAGCACTTGCTGTATGCCAGCGCTGTGCCCACTGGATCCTTGCATTGATCTTGGGAAGTGAGGATTATTATTATCCCCCTTTCACCGGTGGGAGACTGATGCAGAGAGGTCAGGTGACTTTCTCAGTGTCACACAGGAAGCCCCTTGTGGGTCCTTTCCTCAGTTGGGCTAATGGAGGCTGTGTGACGTGAAGGTTACACACATCAAGGGGCCCAGCTGGGATGTGACTCTAATAGTCTATTTCAGCCTTGGGCCCAACTGGTCCCGCTGGGCTGGGTGTGGGAGAGGAGAAAGGTGTAGTTTCTCATCCATCCCCTTTGAAATGGACTTAGAACTGTCCAGAGTGAGATGGACTGCTTCCCTTGCCTCCTAATGGTTTCTGCCTCTTCCTGCTGCCCTCCAGGACGCCAGCCCCCAGGAAGGACCCCCCATGGATCACTCTGGTACAGGCAGAGCCAAAGAAGAAGCCAGCCCCCCTTCCCCCGAGCAGCAGCCCTGGGCCTCCATGCCAGGACAGCAGGCAGGTGGAGAATGGAGGCGTGGAGGAGGTGGCCCCGAGGAGCCTGGCGGTGGCTGGCCTAGAGCCCAAGCCCTACAATCCCTTTGAGGATGAAGAAGAACAGGAGGAGGAGCCCCCCGCTGCACCCAGCACGGCTACCGGCCCTGCTCAGGAGTCCACACCCAAATCCTTGCACCCCTGGTATGGCATCACCCCTACCAGCAGCCCCAAGACAAAGAAGCGTCCTGCCCCCCGAGCACCCAGCGCGTCCCCACTCGGTGAGTGCCATCTCTGGGAGCTCTCCTGACAGTTGGAACTCTGGGGTCAGGCTCCTGGGTCAGCCCAGTCGGGAAGGGGGTGTGATGCAGTGGGATCCCCGTTAGGCCAGGTGCCACGTGTTTCATGTGGATCCTCTCATTTAATCCTGGAGCTAACCTGTGAGGTAGGTATCAAAGCCCCATTTGCAGGTGAGGAAACTGAGGCACAGAGAGGGTAAGTGATTTGCCCCAAGGTCTCAACAGCGCTTAAGCAGTGGAGACAGGATTTGAACCTGACTCCATATGCTAAACTCTTCGTGAGCCACCTCACAGGTCTGCTGTGAGAATTAAATACATTACCTGGTGAAGTGCTGAGAGCCCATGGAAAGCATGCAGCAGGGGTTAGATGGACTCCTGCTGATCTAGTCACTCTCCCCCAGTTGCTGGCAGCCACTGGCTCTGATCTGGCTCTGTGTGACACGGGCCTTGTGACTTGGCGCAGTCCCTTCCCTGTACCTGTCCTCAGTCTCCCCACCTGGAAAATGGTGGTGGTGGGCCAGCTCCAGGACACTGCCTGCTCCGTGCAGCACTCCCCTTATCATCCAGGCGTGTTGCATTTGTTCACTCTCACCGTCTTGTGGTCTTCTCAGGCCCTGGGCTTGGTCACCTTCCACCATGCCTGGGGTCCAGCTGCCTCTGAGATCTCAGTGGGGGCCCCTGAGACGGTGGGGCCGACAGCATGTTAGAGATGTTCAGAGGCAGGTGCTCAGGTGGTCTGGGGTGCCTGTTCTGGCCTCTGCTGGAGCTCTGGGATCCTCTAGCTGAGAGTGGAGGTGGTGGGTGAGTGCGGGGTGCAGCCAATGGGATGAGCTCTGAGTCAGACACAGCTGGGTTCACCCCAGCCCTTGCTGGGGCCAGTGCCTTCTCTCATCTGGAAAACGCACATGACGATGCTTTCATGCATGGTATCCATCACCCGAATGGGGATTACAGTGGTGCAGGGCAGTGCCTGGCCCAGAGCTGGCCACCGCGAGGGCTGCCCGCTCCTCCCCTCGCCTGCTGCCCTCCCTCCCTGCTCTGCTCTGGATCGGAGGCATAGGAGAGGCCAGCCTCAGTTTTTTCTGTGCCCTCGCCTCTCCTGGCAGATTTGCCTTTTATGCTCGTTTTGGCTTTGGATCAGATCAGACATGGGAGGAGAAGTGGAAGTGGCAGCCATGCTGGGTGAGGAAGTGAGAGGTGGGTTCTCTGGGCCCTGGCTTCATCTGGACGTAGAAGGACATGGGTTTCCAAGACCACCTGCAGCTCTGTTGAGAGTGGAGCATGTTAGGTGAGATCAGAAGCCCTGACTGTACCCCATCATGTGGTGCCCACTTTCTCATCTGTTTGTACAGCTCTCCACGCCTCCCGCCTCTCACACTCGGAGCCACCTTCAGCTACCCCATCACCAGCCCTCAGCGTGGAGAGCCTGTCATCTGAGGGCTTCAACCAGAACCCCAGGGCGGAGCTTCTGGAGCCCCCAGTTGTGCCCAAGAGCTCCTCAGAGCCTGCTGTCCATGCCCCTGGCACTCCTGGGACGTCTGCCAGCCTCTCCGCCAACTCTTCCTTGTCCTCATCTGGGGAGCTGGTGCAGCCCAGCGTGGACCGGACACCTCAAGTCAATCCTGGCCTGGCCCCCAATACGAGGGGCAGCTCGGGTCCCCAGCCAGTCAAGCCCTGCAGTGGAGCTGCCCCCACCCCGCTCTTGTTGGTTGGAGACAAGAGCCCCGTGCCTTCCTCTGGAACCTCGTCCCCGCAGCTCCAGGTAAAGGTGAGTACTTCGCCCTCCCTAAAAGCTGCTGTCCTGTCTAGCGGATGGGCGTCTGGTCTCAGGGCAGTAATGTCCAGGGCCTTCCATCTTTGATGGCCTTTGATTTCTTAACTGACATTGGCTGTGTCTGTCTACTCATTCACTTCTCCATTCACTGAGGCACAGATTCATCTATCCGTCCCTCCATTAATCAGCCAGACCTCCCATCATCTACCTGTTCACTGTCCACTTGCCTGGCCCTGCATGCATGGATGCAAAGGACACCTATTTACCTGCATATCCCATGCACTTGCCCATTCACCCAGCCACCATCCATCTGTACATCCTTCTATTCACTGAGGCCCTAATTATGCCAGAGCGCCCCCCCTGCCCCCAGGCCCACCCTGCACTGTGTCCCCTCTTGGGGGTGGAGTGGCCACGAGGCAACCATCCCAGGGAGCTCGTTTTCCAGATGAGCTTTGTGGGCTGTTCGCATACTTCTTTCAGTCCCATGCCAAGACAGGGGTCACCAGGAGTCAGGATATTTCTGGGGCACCTAGTTCCTGAGGAGGTCTCTCTTGCAGCCACAGCCCCTTTGGGCCACCAGGTCCTGATGGTCCACTTTTGCCCCACACTCTGCAGCTCTCTGAAAGCCCAAGTCTCATCCAGTCCTAGTGGATGGCGGCAGGACAGCTCCCGTGGGCGGCCATCATCGTGGTCTGACCTACCTGACAGAGGATGAGGCTGGGAAGGGGGCCAAGCTATTGGTCTAGTCCCTACCTGTGTGTGTTTCAGACATTTAACCTTCCCTGTCCTGGGCAACAGCCTCCTCCTGTCCAGCTCTGCCACCCACCCACTGTGAGACCTGGAAAAGGCCTCTCCCCTTCTCTGAGCCTCAGTAAGCTCTGAGAAGACCAAGCGTTCCTTGGTGGTGGGAGGTGGGGGAGGGGTCGACTTTGACCCCCCTCCCCCCCCCAGGCTGTTTCCTGTCCTGGGGTTGCTGTGGCAGGTAGGAGTTGTGTGGCTGATAAAAGGCTAAGAACACGTGAGGGGCTGGGGCTTCAAGGTGTTTGGCCCTACTGGGCCCCCTTGGGTATAGTTGTGGAAGGAGAGGGCAGAGCCCCAAGTGGACTTCCTTCTGGGGCATTCCCACACCCCGTCCTAACCCCAAGATTAGGAGAGAATCCCAGATGTAGTGGGGGCGGGAGACAGGGGCCTTGGGCGGGTGTGCTATGTGGGAGCCAACCCCCTTCTCCCTGCCATGCCTGGCTCACAGCAACTGCTGGCCTGAGGCCATCTCTCGGGGGCTGGTGCTGGGGAGGTGAGCGGGGCTCCCCCCTGCCTTCCCCAGCTGCTGGGAGAAAGCTGGGAAACACTCCAGGGAGCACTCCACAACCTCGAGTGAGGCCTCTTTACTGAGGTTGCAGAGTGCCATCGAGCGCCAGCTGGATGCCCTGGGGCCGTGATGAAAGCGGTTGGAAGATGTGGGCACTGCCCATGTGGCAGTCAGGGCCCTGTCCCAATGCTGGGGCTGCCCAGCTGTGCTGGCCTCAAGAGGGCAGGGCTCACCCCAAAGGGACAGAAAGATGCAGGGCTCTGGGTGCATGGAGGGGGGCAGCAGAGGATAGGGGTCTTTTCTGGGCAGAGAGGGAGCTACCCTGCCAGCCAGGTAGAAGGTGGGATCCGTGCTTTGGCACTCCCTGCTTGGGTGACACTAGGCGAGGAGCTGTACCTCTCTGAGCCTGAGAGTCTCTGCTAGGGAAAGGGTGGTTGTGAGGCCTGAATGAGCTATATAGCTCTGTCTAGCCCGAAACTCCTTGTCCTGACCACTGTCCCCAGTGCTGGATGGCTGCCCCGCCCGGAAACACACAGATTCTCGCCTTAGCGTGGGCCCTTGGAAAGTGCTTGAGCTTAACCTCTCTGAACTTGAGTTTCAGCTCTCAAATGGGCATTACAATACCCACTTTGCGAGCGGCTGTGAGAATTCAATAAGAACATAGGGAAGTCTCTTGCACAGCAACTGCACAGGGGAGGTGCTGGGAAATGGGGATGTTTGTTGAAGGACTGAGTGCATCCGGGACTAAATGCCGGGCAGTTCTCGCTCTGCGTGGGCCCTCCTCTCGCTGTCCTCTGGGTCTAGCCTGCTCTCCATAGTCCCCCGTGAGCAGGCTGCCAGGGGTATTACTGCCCCCTCCTCAGACTTATCCTCTCTCGTGTGGTCCTGCCTTTAGTCTTCCTGCAAGGAGAATCCTTTTAACCGGAAGGCATCACCCTCAGCGTCCCCAGCCACAAAGAAAGCCATCAAGGGATCCAAGCCAGCGAGGCCGCCTGCCCCCGGACACGGCTTCCCGCTCATCAAGCGTAAGGTACCAGCTGGGAGCTCCCAGACTTCCTGGGCTCGGCCCCTGCTTGGCAGCCTCAGGCTCCCCACGGGACACTTCGATAGCATGGACTGTCCAGGCAGCTACCCTCAGATGTCGGAGAGGAGGCACTTGGGTGGCCCAGCTGGAAGGTTTAACTTGCAACCAACAGCATTTCTAGCGAATCAGTTGTTCTCAAGCAGGAGCAATGGGTGGTGCATTTAACTTGTTACTAATAATAGTTCAAGGATCAAAGCACTCACATGATACACTTCTAGTTAAATAGATTAGAGTGTTCTCTAGTTTATGTCTAATACGGTCACCCTCTCACACTGCAGTATCATTTCTGGAGTGGCAGAGAAGGGGAAAGGTTGCCATGAGAGGTGGGAAGTTGTGCCCTCTGGGTGTGCCTGTCGGTGCTGGGGCCAGGGGCACGCAGGGGTTGTGGCTATCTCCACACCCACACTTCCTCACACCAGGATCCTGCATCTGGCCTCGCTGGGGTGTGGGACAGAGCCAGGGTCCTGGGCCCGTAGTGGCCAGTGCTGGCCAGAGAAATGGCGAAGCTCCTGGCAGTGGGCAGGCGGGAGGGGGAGGCTGCCCTTCAGGTGACTGGGGTGCTGTCGAGCAGGTCCAGGCTGACCAGTACATCCCGGAGGAGGACATCCACAGAGAGGTGGACACCATTGAGCGCCAGCTGGACGCCCTGGAACACCGCGGGGTCCTGCTGGAGGAGAGGCTGCGTGGCGGAGTAGATGGTTCGTGAGCTGCTGGGAGGGCCTGGTGGTGGGACTTAGGGGTGGCAGGAGCCTCTCTCTCTCTGGGGAGCCTCGGTGGCTCCTTTGAGGGCGGGAGCTGCTGCCAACCCTGGCCTCAGTGTGCATCTGGCTTCCAGAGGGCCGTGAGGACGACATGCTGGTGGACTGGTTCAAGCTCATCCACGAGAAGCACCTGCTTGTTCGGCGAGAGTCCGAGCTCATCTACGTGTGAGTCCTCCCTGTCCTCGGCCCCTGCTCCCCTTCCTGGAATCTGTAGAGCCTAGAACAGAGAGTCTCCCCTGTCTTCCTGCTCTCGTCACTCACAGCACAGGCCAGGGCAGCTGCACGGGGCTGAATTAACAGTTGACTCCTTCCCACCTTCTAGCTTCAAGCAGCAAAACCTGGAGCAGCGTCAGGCCGATGTGGAGTATGAGCTCCGATGCCTTCTCAACAAGCCAGGTGAGTGCAGCCTCCTGCATCCTCTGGGCACCTGCCCCAGGGCCTGGTGATACAGGGGAGTGGACAGACAGAGCTCTGATGGGGGCACACAGGCAGACTCTGGGAATAGGGTCAGAGGAGGGGGCCTGGAGGGGCTGTCTGGGCTGTAACATGATAAACAGGCGGAGCCATGATGGGAGAGAGAAAAGCATTGCCAGGGTGCGAGTGTGGACACATGATGTCAGGGATGACGGGCTTGGAGAACACCAGGCTCAGGAACACGCCACCTGTGGCCGCCCCCTTCCTGGAATGTGTGGGTTGGGCAGGCCCCCAGGCGGAGGGGCTTCAAGCTGGAGGGCCCACAGCTGCTCCTTGAGTAGGTGACAGCAGATACCTGTCCAGAGGCAGCTGTGGGCTCCAGGCTATCAGGCCAGAGCATGGCGGGACTTTACTGGTAGAGGAAGGGAAGGTAGAGGGCTCCCCCGCACAGTGTGATTAAGTGACTCAGGGAGGGAGGGACAGGATGGGCTCAGAATGGTGGGTGTGGAGTCAGACGTCCCATTTTCAGCCCCTAACTTGCTGGGTGCAGGGGAGAGGGAGGGTAGGCAGGTTTCTGAGCCTCAGTGGCTTCAGGTGGAAGACAGGATGAAGGTCCTCATCTCATAGGGTATTCTTGGAACCAAGAGACAGTGGATGTGGAAACACTGGGCTCTGAGGGGCTGACGGTTGATCGTTATTATGTGGCTGAGTTGGGGTCTGTGGCCATGACATGGAATGAGCCGCAGCTGCAGGTGGAGAGAAACTGCAGGACTGGGGAGTGTCCGGAGCTGGGAGCCAGGGCTCTTGGCCACTTCCTATGGCCCAGGCGGTGGGCTTTGTCATTCTCATTTAACAGATGAGGAAATGCACCCATTAGCAGTAGAGCTGGGTTTCTATCCATGTATCTGACCTCGGCCAGTCCCTGCACACACATAGCCCCTCCTGCCTGCTGGGATGGTGGCCCCGCCTCTCCAATGACTGGGGAAGCTGGAGGCTGGATGAGACCCAGAGGCAGGAGTGTCCGTCCCTGGGGAAGCCACGGAAAGTCTCAGCTATCCACTGCCATCCATGAGTCACTCCCAAATCTCTGGGAGGCTGGGGCGTGGCTACCACTCAAAGGGAGCCACCCTGTGGCTGGAGTGGGCACAGCACCCTGGCCAGCCTTGCCCTGGCCTTATTGTGTGGCTTCTCCAGCCCCCTGTGTGGTGGCAGGGCGTCCTGGGCTTGCCAGATGTTGTTTTTGCAGGGTGAGACTGGCTTACAAGGCCCCAAGTGGGTTGGAGACCCATAGATACCATAAGGGCTGTAGCTTGGGGGTGTCGGGCTACCTAGGTTCAAATATTGGCTCCACCCTTGCTGTGTGACACTGGTCAAGGACTTAACTTCCCCAAGCCTCAGTTTCCCCATATATAGATTGGGAACCTAACTTGCCCAGGCCCCAGATTTGGCAGAGTAGGACTTGAACTTGGGTGGTGACTCTGAAACCCATGCTGTCCCCAGAACTATGCTGGGCCATCTGCTCCTGAGTTTTGACAAGGTGAGGTGGGCATGGCTGAGGGGGCCTCAGGATGCTATTTCAAGACAGGGAGGCCTTTGGTGGCAGGTACTGTGGAGGGAAGGCCAAGTGCGGGCATCCAGTCCCTGGGACCACGTGGGCTGGCTGGAGGAATACCAGGGGGCAAGTGGGCCCCTGTGGGTGGTCCTTGAGGGTTCTTGAGAGGAGGCTGGAGGGGCAGCAGGTGTCTGAGACATCAGGGACGCCTCCTGGCTGGTCTCCCTGCCCCCAGGGTCCCCTCTAGTCCGCCCTCCTTCATGGCATTAATGTTCCAGTATGCCACTTGGGTCACATGTTTCTCCTGCCTGAGGACCCCTGGGGTTCCCTGTTTTTTATTCCCCCCTCTGCCCCCCTCTGGGCAGTGCACCTTTGGAGGCTCTCAGCAAGCCCAGCCCGAATCCCGCTTCCTCCAAGAAACCACCATGAACATTGATTACATGAGTGAATGAGCAGAAGCAGGATGCCTCCTGGCATGCGCTGGTCTCTGTTCTCAGAGCAGGCGCTCCGCTGGCCCTCCGGGAGCCCCCACGAAGGGTGTTTTTGGTAGGCAGCCCAGTATCCTTGGTCTCTTGTATAATAACCTTCATTTCTCCCAAAGCTTGTAACCCCCACCCATCCGGGCCCTCCTTCCTGTCCTCACAGGATCTCGCATGGGGCCGGCCTGCCCTTAGCACCCAGGGGCTGTTTCCTGGCTTCTGGGGAAGGCGGGAGGGTTTTCCCACCACTCACACCCTCACTCTTCTCCTCGGGCAGAAAAGGACTGGACAGAGGAGGACCGGGGCCGGGAGAAGGTGCTGATGCAGGAGATCGTGACCCTCATTGAGCAGCGCAATGCCATCATCAACTGCCTAGACGAGGACCGGCAGAGGTGACGTGGCTGGGTCAGGGGCTCCCCTGGGGGTTCCTCGGGGGAAGGGCCCAGAGCAGGCCAGGCCAGCCCTGCCCTCACTGGCAGCGATCTCGGAGCACCCTTGCTCAACCTGAGTGGAGTCGGAGGCTGGAAGGGACTGAGCTTTTCTGGTTCCTCCTCCTGTGGGACACTCAGTTTCCCTTTCTCATTTCAGGGAGGAAGAGGAAGATAAGATGTTGGAAGCCATGATCAAGAAGAAAGGTGAGGCCCCTCTGGGGGCTCCAGCCCATTTAAACTCCTGGAGGGTGGGGCACAGGTTGAACAGAGGGTTGGAGCTGGCACTACAGGGATGCCGTGTGCCAACTCCCAGCCTGTTTTTCACTAGGAAGGCCATGCGTGGCAGGGCAGGCCAGCCTGTAGCCAGGAAGGCTGTGGCCTGGGCGTGGAGGTGGGTGTGGGGTGCCCTGGTGTCCACAGGGAGGACTGGGGTGTACAGCAAGCACTTCCCCAGGGTGGTCTGCCTTAAGCTGTGCATCCCCCTTGAGATCTGCAGCTGGTCTTGGAGGAGTCTGTGGGCTCAAATAGCAGTGCCTACAGGGAATAAGATAATGCCTGGAATGGTTACAAGAGCACTGGACTGGGAGTCAGGAGGCCTGGGTTTAATCTTCGTTCCACCCATGACTCATTTTGTGGCCTTGTGGTTAAGTCTGGACTCCAGTCAGACTGCATGGGTTCCAGTCCCCGCTTTGATACTTACTAGTGGGTGACTTGAGGCAGCCGCTTCACGCCCCTGTAGGCCTGACTCTCCTTGTCTGCAGAATGGGGGCGATAGAGGCCCCCAGCTCCCAGGTGTATGCTGGGGAATGCTGGGATAATGTGTGTAAAGCACTTTGCCCAGGGCCTGGCACCTACAGAGAGCTCAGTTGGTATTAGTCCATCATGGCAAACCCACATTTTCCTCGTCTATAAAATTAGGGGCTAGGAGAGATGATTTCTGAGGTTTCTTCTTGCTCCAACAACAGTTTTGTGTTATAACCCACAGAGCTGTGGGCTCCAGCCTGGGGAATCAGCATTTTAAAGTTAAATGTATACCATGCTTCAGAGGCTCCAGATTGCTCTCACGCTCCGTTAGCTCAGATCCTTGCTGAAACACTGGGCAAGGGTATGGTTCCCATCCTGTAGGTGAAGAACCGGAGGCTCAGAGAGGCGAAGCGACGTGCCCAGGGTTCCCAGGAGGAGGTGCTGGAGCTGGGCACAGCCCCTGTGGGCCGGCACGCGGAGGCCTCATCACTACCCCTGGCCTGCCCCTTCCGCACGGCATTCAGCCTGCCCTTTCTCTCCGGCAGAGTTCCAGAAGGAGGCTGAGCCTGAGGGCAGGAAGAAAGGGAAGTTCAAGACCATGAAGGTGCTGAAGCTGCTGGGAAACAAGCGTGACACTAAGAGCAAGTCCCCCGGGGACAAGAGCTAACAACCAAGGGTCCTCCGCCCACCCGCTCCTGGCTCAGCCCCTGGGCTGTGCTGCACCGGAGGGGGGCACCCGGCTTCCCTTTAGGACCAGTCAAGAGGAAGGATGACTTAAGGGGAGGGAGCCTCTGGGTGATGGCCTCTCCCTCCTCAGGGCCCTCTGGCTGGTTTGGGCCAAAGAGTTTTCTTCTGTCGTCTCAGCCCCGCCCAGTCTGGTTCTGATGACTCCAGATGCTGTGAGGGACCCAATGAGCACGCAGGGTTCTGGGTCCAGGGAATGGCAGCGGCCACGCACACTCACTCCTCGTCCCGCCCAGCCCTTGCCGTGACGGGCAGCTCCTTGGTCCTTCCTCCCTCTGTATGGCGTCCAGATGGGAACTCTTAGTTGTCCGAGTTCTGACCTGAGGGTGCTTCCACCCATGAGGTCTGCCCATGGTGGGCCTCTGGCCTGGGGGTCCTGCCTCTGGGTTCCTGTCCCTCTTGGCAGGCCAGAAAGCAGGGCTCGGCTGCTCTGGCTTCTTCCGGCCCCGGCAACAGCCCTGAGTCCCCATCCTCCTCTGCAGGGCACGAGGCCCTGAGCCTGTTACTTCTCCCTCAGGAGCTGTATTTATGAAGTCCCTGATTCAGTTTGGGTTAGTTACTGTGTCCTCAGACATGAATGGGCCTGACGGACAAAACCCTCCTTCTGCCCCTTGAAGTTCTAGGAGCTGCTTTCCTCCCTTTCCCTTGCTCTGTAGGAAACCTCACCAGGACAGGAGGCTGTGATGGCCACACTGGGTGGGTGGGTGCCCCAGTGCTGAGTCTCCCAGTTAGGGTCTCTGGGAGGCAGGCCCCCGTTACAGTTCTGGTCCCTGATCATCAGCTGAGGGGGGTATGCTTGACGTAGGTGCTAACCCTGGTTCTTTAACACACTGTAGTCTGACCCCCTCCTTGAGCCCCGCCTCCCCCAGGGTGAGGGGATGATGGGTCCATTCCCATGTGTGGTCATCACGTCTGTTTCCTCACACTTGTCCGTTGTTCCTTCTTTCCCGACTTGTTCCCTCCGAAGGACTGATGGCCACTCAGCCCACTGGGATGGCCGTGGGAGAGGAGGAGCCTTGGGGACAATGCCTTTTCCCTAGGGACTGGGCCAAGCAGCTCTTGGTCGAAGCACTGTTGCTATAAGCTATTTCTGGGCACCTCTAGGGCCCCCTTTCCTCAGAACTCTTCTGGGGAAAGACTGTACTGTATTAACTCATGAGGATTTTCCTCACCAACAATAAATGGAGAACACCTCAGTGCCAGTGCCCTGCAGACTTGGGGTGTTTTTCCCTTGGCCAGGTCTGCCTTCATTCCTGCCTCTGCTGCGCCTCATGGCCAGGCATCTCTGGTGACCGAGGAGGGGCATGTAGGGGCTGTCCACCCCCAGGGGCCCTGGCCCTCACTGCCCGCTGTCGGGCAGGACTCCCCACCTCTGCAGGGGGAGGTGGCTCCTGCACCCGTGTCACCCCTGGCGGTCTCCTTCCAAACGTGCCTGTGGATCTGCGGGGTCACCACCTCCAGGGCCTTCCCTGGGCCAGGACACGTGACCCGGGCTGGTTGTAAGCTGAGGGAGGGCTCCATCAGGCCGTCTCGGTGTCAGGAGACTCAGGTGGTGGGGACTGGGGTGAACCGGGGCGTCTATGCCGCAACTAAAGAGGGAACTTCTTCCTTAGGTCAACTGTAGCCTGTGGGAATGTGACCAAGTGTTGTCAGATCTGTCCATTTTTCAAAAGAAGCTAGAAATCCAGATTGTGTGTGTGTGTGTGTGTGTGTGTGTAATTTGTAAATGTTGGCAACTAATCTGAATAGAAATCAAGGGTAGGCTGAATTTAGCCTGGGATTCTCCAGTCTGCTGCCTTTGAGCCACGTGGTTGAGCCTTCCAGGTGGAGGACAGCTATCCTCATGACATACCGTCCACCCTCAGGTCTGGAGCGTAAGGACACAGGCTTCGCATGGAATGTTCTGGGGCCAGCCCTTGGTCTGACCTTTGCCGCTTATCTGTTTGAGGCTACAGGTGGTGTTTATCCTGCAAACCAGAACTTGGGTCACGTGGCCTGTAGGATTATGTGAATCCCTCCAGGTGGGAGGGTTGGTTGACATTTCCAAAATATTTTGATATATGGGGATGGGAAAATGACAAGGGTACCAGAGAATGTAGAGCTCATGGTTGTCAGATCTGGGGACTGCCATGTGCCCTGTGCCGGGCCTCCCAGAAGAGCAATCGGCGCTGAGGCTGGGGGGTTGCCCAAGGTCGTGGAGCACAGGCTGCATCGGAACTCCAAAACTGGGGCTCTCTGGTTCCTCCCGCCCCTTTGGGTTTCTTCTCATGTGGTCCTGGTTTAGTGGAAAGACATAAAGCTAACTTAATCTTCAGTAGGCTACCTGCTGTGAAATGACCTTGGTTACAGTATCTTCGTGAGCCTTAGTTTTCACACAGACAGGGATAAATGAACCATTGCAGGGGTTTATTGAGAGAATGAACTGAGAGTGAAATTCAGCACCTGCCACAGTGCCCGGCCATGGGGTGCTCAAGAGGCATTGGTTTCCTTTTCCACTTGAAATATGCAAACAGCTAGAAACCATCTGTGCTTGAAAAATTCTAATTCCTTGAACAAATCAGCCTTATCCCTCTGAAAACAAAACGGTATGTGTAATGACTTATGTAAATATGTTTTATTAGCCAATTAATCGTAGCAGTTAAACATTTGCCTTAGGCTATAAGAAGTCAAATAAGTCGGTCCTAAGACAGGTAGGAAGAAAAGAATCACATTCATTCCTAAGTTCAGAAAACTCAATGTGGGCGCACACAGTGGGTGGAGATGGTGAGACGAGGGCCCATTGGATGCTCTTAGTCGCCCCAGGTGGTGAGACTCGGACCTCACTTTCACTGCACCTGGGGTTCTTTCCCCAAGAAAAGACTCGAAGTCGTGTGTGCAAATCAGTGACGGTGGATCCCTGGGCACAGTCTTGAGGAGAACGGGCTCATTCTCTGATGTCCATTTTCTAGGGTGCTGTACATGCCCAGGGTACCTGAGGCCAGGGCAGTGTTGTATGACCGTTGGACATGGCGGAAGGCCAGGATGGGTGGGCTGACCTGGGGGTGACCCTGCTTGGTAAGGGGGTGGGCTCCAGCAGTCAAGGATCGGATACTCTGCCCCATTTCTGGAGACAGATTAAGTGGTGGCAAGTGCCTTCCTAAGTTCCTCAGTCCTCTTGTGGTCAATGTCTTCCATTTCCCGTAGTTTCTGCAAGGGTATCAGGGAAAGCTGGGTTCTCAGGTTAGGAACTTGAGTAGCCAACACGGATGTGAGGCTGGAGCTGGACTTCAAACTCAGCCACAGCTGACGCTTTATGTCTACTCATGTCTCCCCCACACTCATGGTGGATGCGTCCCCTCCCCCTTCCCTGTTGGCTTCTCCTACCTGGGAGATTTCAGTAAGCATGATCCCTCGGTACTGTCTGCCCTGTCCCAGGGCCTCCATGTCCGCCAGGAAGTCTTTCCTCTCCCGGATCTCCTTCACCACTGGATAGGGAGAAGGGTCATCAGTGTACAGGGCACTAGGCCTTCAGGCTCCTGGGAGGGATGGTGGGGGCAGGGCTTGCCTCTCCTGGGGAGACAAAGCGGTTCTGTGGTCAGTGTTTCTCACTAGTTGGCCCTCAGGGATCACCCCCACCCCAAATTCTGGGCCCCCTCCACACACACACTCTCCTCCCCTGCACAGCTGGCCCATCAGTGGCTTACGTTCTTCGAACCGGTCCAGCTCGGGGGCTGGGTCCTCCTGTGGCACAGGAGGGGGCTTTTTTTCCCGTTCCTTTTTGTCCTTCCCTGTGGCAAAGATATTTTGGAGTCTTTGCTTCTCCTTCTCCAGATCACCTGTTAAGGCCCAGAAATGGCTTGATTACGGCGTGAAGGGCACCCCCATTCACGGTCTGTGTGCTTAACTAGGCGTGCTTGCTCCAGGGTGCTCCTGAGCTGTCTTGTCAAGACAGGCAGGAAGGGGAAGGGGTTGAGAGAGCCAAGAAGAGGGCTTTGTCAAAGCCCACACACCGCTCTGTTGCAGAGCAAGGCTAAGAAAACTCAGCGACCACCACTGTGGGCTGTGTGTAGAGGCTGCGTGGAGTGCAGGAGGGTCTGGGCCAAGAGTTATGTCAAGTGCCAAGGAGGAAGCGGGATGGACTGCTCCGTCAAGGCTAGACTGCAGAGAGGCTCTGGATCTGAGGCACCGAGTGAGCTTAAGAGAGCAGTGGCCATGAGACCTGCCAGCCAGCCATTTATCAGAGATGGGTAGAATCCAGTTCATTGTTAAAGAGAGTTCTGAAAAAAATTTTTTTAAAGAACCCCCTAACTGGTTTCCCCTGTGCCCCAAACACTCCCAAGCTAATGTGCCAAGGCTCAAGAGCATTGGGATAAACATCGTGAGAATTTGATGAGATACACATTCACCTGCCCGGTGGGCAGCTCATCTCCCTGGACCCCCCCCCCCTTGGACGGAGGTGGAAGAGAGGCTCCGGCTGAGGCTCTCCCACTTACGGGTGGCTCGAGGCTTGAACTGCTCCCGGCAGTAGGCCCCGTTGGCCTGGCACATGCTGGCAGGCCGGAGGTGGGATCGGGCCTCCAGGATGGGAGGCAGGTAGATGGGCGAGGCTGGCTGCTTGGAAGGCAAGACCCTCTGGCTGGATGTTGGGCTGCACTGTAGGGGCAGAATGTCTCCTCCTGGGGAAGGAAGGGTTGGCGTGGGGGGATCCACTTGGGTTTTTTTTTTTAATTTATAAAAGTGATAACTGTCTGTTGGAACAATGCAAACAGTACTGCGCCGCCCCCGCCCCCTAACACACACACAATGGGCAATTTGGTGGTCTCAGTTCATTCTTTTTGATGCTTATATAAATATGTTCAAAGATATGTGTGCATATCTAAGATTCGTTTTTCAAACACTGGATCAATAAGACTCCTCACTTAACAATTTATCATGGCCATCTTTCTAGATCACTCTTGATATATAATTTATTTTTTCTAGCTGTGTACTAGTCCTTAGAATGGCTATCTTATTTATCCAACTAGTCTCCTAGTTTCAGAAATTCAGGCTGTTTCGTCTACTTCCTTTTACTACTTCCAACAATGCTGCAATAAACATCCTTGTACATCAAGCCTTCATACTGGTGCTTTTATTTCTATAAATGGATTCTTAAAACCTGCTTGGTCCATGGCAGGGAGGGAGGGTTTGGATGGTAATAGACACCAGCTCCTCCTACTGTCCATCCCCACTGCCTCGGCCCAGACTTGGGGCTTCTTCGTCAGACCAGCCAAGTGTGTCACCTCCTGTCTCCCAATCACCCTAAAGCCCAGCTCAAGGCAAGTTTGGATCTGGCCCCTGTTTACCTTTTCTACCTGCCTAGCCTTCTTCTGTCACCCACCCAAGAAATACATAATAAGCATCTACTCTCTGCCAGTCCCAGGACACGGGGGGTAAAGTATAAGACAAAGCTTTGCCCACATGGCGCCTGTATCTGGGGAGTGGATGATAAAATAAACTACATTAGTATGTTAGGTGACGACCGTACAGAGGTGGAGCATAGAGTGTGTCAAGCAAGAATTACCATTTCAATAGAGAAGCCAGGGAAGGCCTCATGAAGAGGGTAACATTTGAGAAAAGATGCAAAAGTGGTGAGGGGCCAGCGATGAGCTATTTCAGGGATGAGCATTCCAGGCAGAGGGAAGGAGCGGCTGGAGCAAAGGCCCTGAGGTGGGAATGTGTCTGGAGTGTCTCGAGGAACAGCCAGGGCGCTAGGGTGCCAGGAATGGAGTGAGCAAAGGGGCATATAGTGGGAGTAGAGGTCAGACGTCATGGGGGGCAAGCGAAGTGCAGGGCCTGGCAGGCCTCTGGAAAGACTGGCTTTCACTCGTGTGAGTTCAGAAGCCATCGGAGGCTTTTGAACAGAGGAGTGACGTGATCCCTTTGGTTGCTTTGAAAAGACTGTGTTGGGGGCCAAGGGCAGTGGCGGTCAGAGTCAGGATATGGTTTGAAGGCCAAGCAGACAGGACTGCTGATGGGTCAGATGGGGGGTCTGGGAGGCAGAGGAGTCACGGATGACTGAGGTGTCTGCCCTGAGGACTGGAAGGATGGCGCTGCTGTTATTCCCCACCAACCTTTCCCTTCTCACATCCTCTCCTTGGGAGTTACACGGCTTTACGTATCTCTCGTTTCTGAAGAGATGCTGTGTTTCCTAGAATGTCCCTCCACTCCCTATTTCTGTCTGTCCAGTGCCAAATGCTACCTCTTCCTCTGGCCCATTTTCAGCAAATAATTATGGCCTGAGGAATTCTGGGAGTTCAGGTAAAGGAGAGGAATCTGTGGCTTGCAACAGAATTTGAACTAAGGCTCAAAACAACAGTAGGATTTGGTTAAGAGAAGTAAAGAGAAGGTTCTAGAAGAAAGCAGACTCAACACCAATGCTTGGAGGCAATTAAAAAAAATAAAACTCCTAAGGAGAAAAACACTGCCAGGTGAACCAGTTACTTGTGTTGGCCTAACCACTAATGCAATTAGTCCTTCAATAAAAGATGAAGCCAAAGCAAACAAACAAACAAACACTGAGCA